GGGTGGATTCTTGGGACGACCATTCGCTTAAGCATGAGCTCCCGGGCATGCCGCCAAACGGGCTTCGCGCGCGCATGTCGAAATCGCTCGAACGTTCTTGCGCGCGTGCCGTGGCGAGAATCCTCTGCAACATATTGGACGAAGTCCGCGCGAGCGAAATCTTCGGTTGTGTATATATATATATATATATATATACACGTGGTGTCGCTACACAATTTCCAACACACAATAATAATACTTATAAACAAGACGCGCCCTTGCGAACCTTTTAAAAGACCATCGGTTTCTCAACATGTACATGGAATTCTGCCAAAAGGGCCTCTCGCGCCGCATGCCAAAATCATTCGCGCGCCTTTTGCGCGCGTGCTGGGGAGGCATGATCCGTGTCAAATAATTCCACGCGGGCCACTTTCGCACGTCGGCAGCGCGCGCATGTCGAACTCTTCAAAAAAACTTCATCACCGACGCGAGGACGCCGTCATCGTCGCCGGCGTGATTAGCATCCGCGCCGTCACTGGCCGTGTCGTCGTCGCTGTCAGCATCGTCGCCAACATCGCTACGACCATCATCGTGTATACTCTTGTCGACGTTGTCATGATACCGCGCCCGCCCAAATCTCTGACTCGCAGTGAAGTGCAAGCTGGGATGCGCCCAACGGTCAGCACCACAGCGGTTGCGTCGGTCGCGCCAAGCTAGCTGGCTGCTGCGCGCGCGTGCTGGAGTTGTCGCGGCCGCAGAAATGCAGCAGCCAGCGACAAGCACCCATCGCAATCGCCGCCGCACGGGGTTTGCAAACCAAGTTGCGGGCGGGTAAGTGGCATGTTTGCAAGAGCCGTGGGATGGACAACTTCAAAGTGGGCGTTGGTGGGATGCACCACGTGGATTGCACCACATATATTCCCCTGTGCAATGAAGATTTGACACCGCCCTCCGCCCGCAGTGCAATGGAACTGTGATGTTGCTCCCTCGATCATATTACATTTAAACTCAAAGCATCCCAGTCATGCCCGTATCGAGTTGTGCTGCCACCCCTGTTCTACATACATAGATATATGTTTGCACGTATGTATGTGTATACGTACATGTATATGCTTATGCATGTGTAGGTGGATAGGTGCATGTATGTGTACATGTTTGTGCATTTATCCATCTACACACCGACCGACGTACATCTATATATGGAGATGCAAACGATCGTAAATAACAAACCATCAAGTGGCAAGAAATCGTTGTAGACAAATTGACACAACCCACACGCGCGCGTCGTCGCGTGCGCATGTTTTAATGTTTCAGCGACCCTGGGCGTCGTGGGGAATTCAAAATCGACTGCCCCGAACACATAAAAAACACCCTGTCTTGCAACATGCTGTTTCACGAGAGGATTGCGCGCGACCTTGCGGATCCTTGAGAAATCCGCTCGTTTCCTATATGTAAGGCAACGAACTCTATACACCGACGCTTTTCCCGACCCTGCGCCGAAATTCCCACAAGAACGCGGATTCTGGTGAATTCGGGATCCTGGTGTATACATGTTTCGCTGTTTTCCTGGGACATCGCGGAAAATATACACCACACCACCCCAGCGTCGTCCCCGACGCTCAAAAAGTCCTGGGATTCAAGAGCCAACCCGCCACTGGTCATGTATACGTTCCAATTTCCGATATATGTTCCTCGTATGCGCCCAAGCGGGTCTCCCGCGCGCGCATGCCGGAATCATTCGGACGCCCTTGCGCGCGTGCTGGGGGCCCCCTGTCAAAGAACACCAAGCGGGCCACGCTCGCGCCCGCCCGTCGGCCCGCGCGCGCATGCCGAACTCTCCCCAAAACCTCCATCACCGACAAGCGGGCAACAGTACCGTCAACGGTGCGATCAGCATCCGCGCCGTCATTCAATGACGGTCATTGGCCCTGCTTTCGTCATGGTCATCGTCGTCACCAGAGCGGTTACTAGCATCATCGTGTCTGCCGCTGTCGACGTCGACGTGATATCGCACCCGCCCGGCGTCAGCGGGGCCTGCGAGACATGCTGGGAGGGGCCAAGTGGTCAGCGCCATCGCGGCCGCGTCGGTCGCGCCAGATCAGCTGGCAGGTCTGTGCGCGAGCCTGCGCGCGCTAGCGCGGCCGCAGCGGTACGCCAGCCATCGCCAAGCAGTCATCACAACAGCCGCCGCATGGGTTTTGCAAAACAAACTGCGGGCGGATAGGTGGGATGATCGCGCGAGTGGTGGAGTGGCAGTGGAGTGGGCAACTTCAAGTTTGGCAGGGCGAGCTGCATCACGAAGACTGCACCACGTAGCTAAAACAGCAGACGTTGCACCACTTAGCTTGCACCCTGCATGCTGCTCAGCGTCCTGCGTTACAGACGTTGCACCATATAAGTAGAATGCTAGAGCACACTGCCTGCAGACCACGCTGGCGAACATTTGTTCATGTCCAGCTTGATGGACGATCGCATACGGGTCTTACGTACGCGAAGTGGCACGGCGGCCTCACGCCGCGGCTTGCGCGGGACGCCGGCGCGGCACGCTGCACTGGGAGCGAGGGCGCTCACGCGCGACCTTCCGCGGGCAACTTACGCGGCAAGGTCGGCGCAGACGACCCCGCTGCGCCGCTGAACTGTCTCCCGTCCTGCCCCTGGCTTGGCGCTGCCAGGGAGGGGTCCGCGGCGCAAGGCAGGTCCACCAGGGGAGGGGTCCCTCGGACCCCTGGGCGCGCCAGGCTGGCCCAGGACCCCTTGTGGGAACGCCGCCGGGAGGCCTCCGTGATGGCTCCAAGTGGGCCCGAAGGTGGTCTCAAAGCCTCAGACGGCTGGAGACGGCTCCATGGAAAACGCGTCTTCTTTTCAAAAGCACGATCGTGCCCCCGATGTGCTTCAACATAGCTTCGGAGCAGGTCCCAGAACCACCCAGACCTGCCAAAGGCGGCCCCAAGGCGGGATCAACAGGCCTCAAGCTGCCGCCCAGATCGTCCAGGATGGCCCAACTTCGGGCACAGACTAAAGACACCGCCACAGGGAGGCCCACGGGATCCCTCGAGATGCCCGCAGTGTGGCCCCGGAGGCTCCGACGCGCCCCAGGAGAGGCCCCAACACTGCCTCCCTATGGCCACAAGAAGGCTCAGCCTGGGCGTGACCAGGGGGGGAGGAGGAGGAGGAGGAGGAGGAGGAGGAGGAGGAGGAGGAGGAGGAGGAGGAGGAGGAGGAGGAGAGGAGGAGGAGGAGGAGGGGGAGGAGGGGGAGGGGGGGAGGAGGGGAGGAGGAAGGATTGAGTAGGGGAGGAGGAGGAGGAGGAAGGAGGAGGAGAGGGGGAGGAGGAGGAGGAGGGAGGAGGAGGAGAAGGAGGAGGAGGAGGAAGGAGGAGGGGGAGGCGGAGGAGGAGGGAGGAGGAGGATGGGGAGGGGGATCAGGAGTAGCAAGAGGGAGGAGGGATGGAGGAGGATGAGGAGGAGGAGGAGGCGGAGGAGGAGGAGGAGGGTGAGGGGGAGGAGGAGGAGGCCTACAAATGTTCAAATATTCAGTAGGCTCCCGAGGGGCACGGAGCACCCACCTGATTACCAACGCCTCCATATACGATTTTGCGGGCCTGCCCCGATCCCCCCTCCTCCCCTTGCGCGGCCTCTCCCGGAAAATACCCCAGGACACGGCCTAGAAACCTGGGCCACATCTCTGGGCGATCTCTGGGACATCATTATCTTGCGCAGCTGTGTTCGTCGTCGTCGTCGTTCGCTCATTCGTAGTTTGTCCTCGTCGTCGTCCTCTTCGTTCGTCGTCGGCGTCGTTCGTTCGTTCGTCGTTCGTCGAGCTCGAACCTTTGTCTTTTCGTCGTCTACGTTGGTTCGTTCGTCGTTCGTCCTTCCCCCTGGCCGTTCTGGGCATGCCCTGGAAACTCCTGGAGGAAGGAGGCGAAAGCCTCCTGCCCCTCGCAGCGACTTGGTGCAAGAGCTAGGGCACGCGTGCCACTTCTTTGCGCTGTTTTGGGTTCCCCCAGGGCTTGTTTGGGAAGCCACTCCCACTGAAACATACGACCCCTGCAGCCTCTCGGCGTCTGCAACCTTCGCCTCGCATTGTCCATATCTCGCCATCGCTCGGACGTCTACTCCCTGTGCATGTGTCGGTGTCGTGCGTGTGTGCTTCTTGTGCCCGATGAATCAAGATGCTCCTCGATGGCCCCCGTCGAAAGAATGCACACGTCCGAGCGATGTTAAGTGAGGGCTTGCTCAAGAAGCCATGCTCACTGAAACATGCGCCCCCTGCAGCCTCTCGCCTTCTGTAATCTTCGCCTCGCCGTGCTCATACATTTTCACAATCTGGAACTCTCGCCTTGCCGCCTGGAAAGCGTCCAGGGCGCCGCGAGAAGCATCCGAGAGAGCTCCCGGGACGCCCCCCTGGGGAAGGGACCCCAAAAAGGCCCAAAGGGGCCCAAGGGTGCCGCCATGAAGCGGCTCCAACAAAAAGATGGCTCTCACGGTCCCCAAGAGGGGCCCCCGAAGCTTCAAGGAGGACTCAGAGTCTCTCAAACGTGTCCGAAGAGAACTACAGGATGACTCTGACAGGCCCTCAAATGTCTGACGGTTCAGCGTTGCTGACATTGTTGCTTCAATGGGCTGCTGGAAACTACGATGGAAGCCGTAACTCGTTACAGCCGCTCATCTTCCTGCATGGGACCAGCGAACTGGCGAACAGACATCATGCTACCAAACGAGCGTTTCTGGCCACGTCGTGCCTAGGCGACAACCAAGTTCCACGACATACATCCAAGGAGCTCCCCGAAAACCCCAGCCTCTCCTGAGCCGAATGCTGCATTGATTTCTGCGTGTTGACTGTAATACATAAGACTTGCCGCAACGAGGAGCTGCTAGCGTAAACCGGCAAGCAGTTGAAGAGCCTTCTGTACTTCGAAACTGCCCTGTAGACTTGCAGCAGCTCGCAGAAGGGCTTGTGATGGAGTGCCAGTCCGCCAGAGAGGCGGATGCGTGTGCGGAGAGGGGGAAACTGGGAGGCACATCACAACGAGCGCAAACACCGTCCCCTCGAATCATCTGACCCCCCCACGCGGGGTGAAGGCTGGAGAGACAGCGTGAAAGTGTCAGAGCGCAGAATGAGGCTCCGAACGAAACGGGGTCGTTGAAACTGTTGTACGTCAACCGTGTCCTGCGAAGGAGTGGTCATATGCAACGATACGACTCCCGACATCACCCCACGAAGAGCTGACGCCCGGCACAAGTCTGGCATCGCCTCACCCTCGCCAGACGAAGAACACGGTGGTCCGTTGCATCCCATCGCAGGTACCGTCGAAGCACGCTCGGCGTCAACAACATCACGTCTTGCACTCTAGGCAACAGCCTCGATGTCGTATGTCTGATCATCGCCATGGCTGATGTGAGCTCTTGTCGTCATGACCGTCACCTCCGTCGTGCTGCACTTCTGCGGGCACGCCCCGGAAACCAGGGACGGGCCTTTCGTGGATTGCTGGGCCGTCCTGGGCCCCGGCCCAAGGGGCCCCCGACCCCCCCCCCTCCGCGCTCCTCGCAGGAGCAGCAGCAGATGCAGAGGCAGCTGCGGCTGGAACGTGTAAATACCCCTTGCGCTGGCACGTCAGGGTATATAAACTTCCCCGCCGCCCTGGAAGAGACGCCCCCGGTGACGGGCAAGCTTATTTCAACCGTTCCACCCGCCACAGGATGAGCAACAGATGCTGGAACAAGAAAAGACGCAACAAACATGAACTGTTGGCGCTCCGCGCGGAGCGCCAAGCTCATGTTCATGCACTTCTCTTATAATCTAACTTATAACCGCTCTTCGCCCGCCACAGGACGAGCAACGGATGCGGAGGCGAGAGCCTCGCGGACATGCCGTCCATGGCCTTGCAGAGGAAGCGCGCCGGGACCGCGGCGGGCACCCGCAGCTCGGGCGAGGCAGCCGTCCGCCGCAGCCCACGCTGCCTGTAGTCCTCGCAGGCCAGCCCGACCTGGATCCCCTGCATGAAGCCCATCACCACGACGGTTACGGCAACGCCCGCCGCGGTCCTGCAGCCCCGGGACTCGTGGCGCCTGGACGACAGCGCCGCGTGGACGCAGAACATGCCGATCACCAGGTGCACCGGGAGCAGCACGACCAGGTACCTCCCCCCCGGGAAGCCTACAGGGGCTCGTGGATCCCTCCCATGCAGGACCCCTGGACCTGAGGTCCTGGCAGGTCTGGAGCTTCCCAGAGGCTCCTGGAAATCCTGAAGGGGTCCAGAACATGAGGCAGCTCTGATGCTCGAGCCCAACTGAGGCCCGAGAGCACCTGATGTGGCCAACGTGGGCAAAGATGCGCGGGGGCGGCCAAGAGGGGGGCGTCCAAGAGGGGCAGGCGCAAATCATGGTCAGCGGCATGTGCGCGGCCCAGGGGGGGGGCCGGGGACGTATTGGAAGAAGAGGAGGGGCCATGAAGTCTGGGGAAATATCATGGCCCCCGCCATGATATCCACCCCCCCCCCCTAGTCACCCCCCTGTCATCACCCCCCTGTTGGCCGCCCCCGAGATGCACATGGTCAGCACGTTGGTGGCGTAGTCCGCCAGGTGCAGCAGCACGAAGGCCACCAGCCGCAGCAGGTCCAGCTCGGCCTCGGAGCGCCGCCGCAGGAAGCACAGCCCGGCGCCGCACAGCGCCAGGGTCGCGCAGGGGAAGCCGCGGCAAGGCTCGGGGATGCACGCAAGCGGTCCCCCCGGGAGGCGGTCCCGGCCCGGCGTCGGCCAGGCCCGTTCCCCCATGAGCTGAGCTCACTCTGCATCGAGGTAGACATCTCGGGATCAGACTTGCCGGAGAGCTCGGAGGACCAGCGGGACGAGGAGGACGAGGAGGAGGCGGCCGAGAGGAGGAGGACGAGGAGGAGGAGGAGGAGGAGGAGGAGGAGGAGGAGGAGGAGGAGGGGGAGGGGGAGGGATGAGGAGGAGGAGGAGGAGGAGGAGGAGGACGAGGAGGAGGACGAGGACGAGGAGGACGAGGACGCCGAGGAGGACGACGAGACGAGGAGAGCGAGGTGGGCGCGCCGTGGTGGGAACGAGCGCGCGGCCCGCGCTGCGGGCGGGCGTCCTGGTCTGGCCGAGACCAGGCGGGCGAGGCCGAGGCGGGGGCAGCCGGATTTGAAGGGGCCCTGGGACACACAAATAAATACACACAAATAAAAATATCACCCATATGTTCCCATATTTTCTGGGTTTCTGTCTTCCCCCCACTTCCCGTATTTTCCCATGTTTCCTGGGGAATCGAGGAGTCATTGTGTCCGTGTGTTTCTTTTCCTCCTGAGGATTGTGCGACGTCACTTCGACGACCCCCAGCACGTGTGCCAGCGCCAACGTGTGCTTGGCCACCGAAGCCGGTGGGCACGACGCGAGCCGTGCAGAGAGGGCCGACGCAGGCCGCGGTGCTGCCGGCGGAGCGGAGCCGGGGGACTCGCGGAAGGAGGAGCAGCATTTCACAAGTGAGCGTCGGGTGGAGGAGGTCGAGAGGGGGTGACCAGGGGGAAGAGGAGGAGGAGGAGGGGGAGGAGGAGGAGGGAGGTGGAGGAGGGGAGGAGGAGGAGGGGGAGGAAGGAGGGGGAGGAAGGGGAGGGAGGAGGAGGAGGGGGAGGAGGAGGGGGAGGAGGAGGGGGAGGAGGAGGAGGGGGAGGAGGAGGGGGAGGAGGAGGAGCAGGAGGAGGGGGAGGAGGAGCAGGAGGAGGAGGGGGTGACCAGGGGGGGAATGGCTCGGGGGGGGGATCATCGGCATGGGTCGGCGGCCAATCGCCGACACGTCGGCGACGGGGCACGGCGCCGAAACCCGACGTTCCTGGGCACGGCGGGGCGCCCACGCCCAGGTCGGCGAGGAGCGTGCGGGGCTCAGCAGGCCCTCCCCGCGCCTGCCAATCAAAGTCTTGCCAGCCTTGGGCGAGGAGCACGACCCACGTTGGGCCCAACTTGCACGCAGGTGCAAGAGGGACGCCGAAGCGAAAAAACCCGAGCATGGACTTGCTGAGGGCACGCCGAGCTCCATCCCAAACCCGAGTGGTCCTCATTCCAAGGTTTCGACGGCAGTCCAGCGCGGATTGAACACCCAAACCCCGGGGCGCGGATCGCCTCCTTCCCAAACCTAAGTGGTCCTCATTCCAAGGTTTCGACTGTAGTCCAAGGTGCCGACTGTAGACCCACGGAGGCCTCCTAGATGGGGTTCAAGTAGATCGGCTCGGAGGAACGCGCCGCATCGCCAACGCATCGTCAATGTGTCGCCGATGCATCGGCGATGCAGTGGCGACGTCGGCGATTCACCGGAGCAACCTGCGTGGAGAAATTCTGGCTCCACATCCAGCTGCAGCCCCGATGCATCGGCGATGTGGCGCGACTCTTCGACACCAGCTGCTTCGACCCCCTGTTGGGAGGCCTAGAACCCAGACCGGAGATGCCGCGCCCTGTCGAGGGGAAGGGGAGGAGGAGGGAGGAGGAGGAGGAGGAGGAGGAGGAGGAGGGGGAGGAGGAGGGAGGAGGAGGAGGAGGAGGAGGAGGGGGAGGAGGAGGAGGAGGAGGAGGAGGAGGAGGAGGAGGAGGCGGGAGGGAGGAGGAGGGGGGGGGAGGAGGAGGAGGAGGAGGAGGAGGAGGAGGAGAGAGGAGGAAGAGGAGAAGGGGGGAAGGAGGAGGAGGAGGAGGAGGAGGAGGAGGAGAAGGAAGGAGGAGGAGGAGGAGGAGGAGGGGGGGAGGAGGAGGGGGAGAGGAGGGAGGAGGAGGAGGAGAGAGGAGGAGGGGGAAGAAAAAAAAGGAGGAGGAGAGGAGGAGGAGGGAGGAGGAGGAAGAGGAGGAGGAGGAGAGGGATGGAAGAGGAGGAGGAGGAGAGAGGAGGAGGCAGAGGAGGAGGAGGAGGGGAGAGGAGGAGGAGGGAAGAGGAGGAGGAGAGGAGGAGGAGGAGGAGGAGGAGGAGGAGGAGGAGAGCGCCCTGGGGATACCGAGGCCGCCCCGAACAGGCCCGCACGGACCGCCCCCGGGGCGCTGCCGGTGCGCCACCCCGCGGCCATGCCAGGGGATGCCTGCCGCCTTCGCCCACTGCCAGCTCCTCGGGGACGCAGAAGGACATACCAGCTCCTTGTCCTTGCTCCTTTCCTCCTACCTTCCTCCTACATTCCTCCTCGTCCTATTCTTCCTCCCCCTCCTCCTCCTCCTCCTCCTCCCTACTCATCATATACTCCTCTCTTCATCTCCTCCTGTTCTCCTCCCTATCATCGGCCCTCCTTACTGCTCCCCCCCTACCCCCCCTCCCCCCCCTCCTCCTCCTCTCTCCTACCCTCCTCCTCCACCCCTCCTCCCTCTCCCTCCTCCTCCTCCTCCTCCTCCTCCCTTCCTCTCTCCTCCTCCTCCTCCTCCTCCTCCACCTCCTCCTCTACTGCTAATCCTTCCTTTCTTAACGTGAGACTAGCGTGAGGAACTAGCCTGTCGCGTTCTATTATCCTCCTCCTCCTCCTCCTCCTCCTCCTCCTCCACCTTCTCCTTGGAGGCGCGCGTCTGACCCGAACATCTAATAGACCCATCTTCCGGTATGTCGTTTCGCGAGCGGCGTGGCCAGAACGCGCCCGCCACGTCGGTGCGCGCGTCGCCCCCAGGGGGGCGACGCACACACAGTATGAGTACGGCAGGTTCGCGTCGTGACGACCCCAGCGTTGGTTTCTGACACCGAATGGATCGTTGAACCTGGAACGATCGGCCGCCCCCGCAACGTCCGATCGTTCAACATCAGCCGATTCTGGGTCGCCGAAGGCGGTCAACGTCGAACGCCGCCGGCAGGGTCGCCGCCGGTCGATACGACGCGAACCTGCCCTCCCTCCCTCCCTCCCTCCCTCCCCTCCCCTCCCTCCCCCTCCTCCCTTCCCCTCCCCTCCCCTCCCCCTCCCCTCCTCCCTCCCCTCCTCCTCCCTCCCTCGATACGATGTTGGGGTGGCGCCGCTCCTCGCGCTCTGCTGCTGAGGCAGGCCACGGACGGCGCCGCAGCCGCCCACAGGCCGCGCAGCGCGAGCGGCCCCGGCATGCTGCTGGCAGACGAAGGAGCTGACTACCTACCAGACCACCCGAACCCAACCCGAAGACCCGAGGGTGGTTTGGTGGGTGGTGAGGAGCCGGCACCAACATGGGCGCGGGCGCTCCGCCAGGCTTTCTTCGATCGGCGCCGGAGGCGCCGCCAGGGGAGGAGGAGGGGGGAGAAGGAGGAAGGAGGAAGGAGGAGGAGGAGGAGGAGGAAGGAGGAGGAGGAGGAGGAAGGAGGGGGAGGAGGAGGAGGAGGAGGAGGAGGAGGAGGGGGAGGAGGAGGAGGAGGAGGAGGAAGGAGGAGGAGGAGGAGGAGGAGGAGGAGGGGGCCCAGGCGCGGATCCGAGAAATCCGAGCGGAGCGCCAAAGGCTTCTGCTGGTGCCGCTTCTCTCTTCTGCATGCCGTGCTCATGCCCCTCGCCGCGGGCAGGCCCCTCGAGCCCCTGCAGGGCAGGCCCCCGAAGCCTGAGCTCGTCGGCGGCGGCGTCGGCGTCGACGTGGATGCCATTGGAGAACCGGCCTCCTCGAACTCGTCGCTACAGTCGGGGCGTTGACCTAAGGAACCCTAAATAAGGAACGAGGCCCCTTTTTCCATAAGTTAAACTTCGATTTCCGATCGAGAACATGAGGAAAACCTGAGGCAAGCTGTGAAACACTTAAGGAACGCGGAGCCCCTCCCCAACGAAAAGGGTTCCTTCTTCAGGGCCCCGACTGTATCCCTAAGATCGGCAAGCCAACGAAGACGACATTCTTAGGGCTGTGCCCTCAGACGCGGAGGGGATCCCTGAGATCGGCGCCGAGGTCAGGTGATGCCACACACTTGAGCAGGGACCGACAGTACAGCCATTCCAATAGACCTACCCCGGAATGTTTTTAGACCCCACATCTTCTCAGAACAGAAACAATGCTCTTAGAACCTGAGACCGATGTGGTACAACAGGACAGCCCCGGCCAGAAATGTTCTGAGAACAGTTCGTGCGAACCACAAAACGCTATCAAACATTATCTGGTGGGCCTGTGGGCCTATCATTGTGGATGCCATGGCCATGGACACCCTAACAATCCTATCATTGAATTAAACCTGCTTTTTAATGTGTGTAAATCATGTTATAAAAATGTTTGGAACATGGTTTTACATATATATATATAGATAGATAGATATAACATGTTTGAAACATATTTTAGACATCTTGGAATTATTCGGCAGCCCGCTTCCTCTCCGCTGGTCGACTTCCACAAGCCTATCGGCGAGCCAGGACGCTGCGCCACTGCTGGACACATTGGGGCAGGGACTGGTTGCCGGCTGGCAGGGCGGCGGCGTCGCCGTCGCCATGGACGTCGTCGGGGGGGGGGGGGGCGCGGGCGGCACGCGCGGGTGCCGCCCGGCAGGGCCGCCGGAGGCGCGGGAGCGCGCGGAAGGCCGTGCTGTGGTGGAGACGCCGAGGAAGAGGAGGATGATAATAATCATCATCATCAGCATCAGCATCAGCATCAGCATCAGCATCAGCATCATCATCATCATCATCATCATCATCATCATCAGCAGCAGCAGCAGCATCGAAATCAGCATCATCATCATCAGCAGCATCAGCATCAGCATCATAATCATCATCATCATCAGCAGCAGCAGCATAAGCATCATCATCATCAGCATCAGCATCCTCCTCATCATCATCAGCATGATCATGATCATGATCATGATGATGATCATCATCATCAGCAGCATCATCATCATCATCATCAGCAGCATCAGCATCAGCATCATCATCAGCATCAACTAAATCATCTGCATCAGCATCAACATCAGCACCACCATCATCATAATTATCATCATCCTCATCCTCGGCTCCCCTCCGTCTCTCTGTCTTGCAGATGGCTCCTCCACGCGTTCGGCCCCCAGGCGTGTCGGCAGGGCGCTCTTCGCTTCGCCCGAGATGCCCTTCTCGTGTGGAATCCTCAGGCAATAGATCCGCAGCAGTTACAACGACGGAGCACAAGGGGGCTTTCAACATGGTGGTCCCGCCTCAACGTCTCGCCCATAAGCGGCCACATGCAAACCCTACCACTCCGAGCGATGTGAACCCCACTAGGGCTCGCATGTGGCCCCTAACACATTCGTTCGGGAAGGAGCACAGGAGTTGTTCAAAACATGAAGATCTCTCTGCAGACTTCCTTGAACTTCAAGAGCAGAAGCGTCAAAATGTGTACCAGCTACATGAATGGAGGGCAGTTCTTTTTTCCCAACCATCCTGTGGTGTTGGGTCCTCGTTTTGAAGAGACGGTGCCCGCGTCCTCTCCTCTCCTCCTCTTCCCCCTCCTCCCTCCTCCCCCTCCTTGCCTCTGCTCTCGGCACACCTCTCACGCGTTTCGTAGCCCCATAGGGAGCTCCACCGAAGGCCCCAGTGGGGGTGTCCACAGCGTTCACCCAGGGCAGCGTTTCGTAGCCCCATAGGGGGCTCCACCGTAGGCCCCAGTGGGGGTGCCCACATGCGGTTCCCCCACCCAGGGCAGCGTTTCGCTCCACCGAAGGCCCCAGTGGGGGTGTCCACATGCGGTTCCCCCCCCCAGGGCAGCGTTTCGTAGCCCCATAGGGAGCTCTCCCGAAGGCCCCAGTGGGGGTGTCCACATGCGGTTCCCCCACCCAGGGCAGCGTTTCGTAGCCCCATAGGGAGCTCCACCGTAGGCCCCAGTGGGGGTGTCCACATGCGGTTCCCCCACCCAGGGCAGCGTTTCGTAGCCCCATAGGGAGCTCCACCGAAGGCCCCAGTGGGGGTGTTCGCATGCGGTTCCCCCACCAGGGCAGCGTTTCGTGGCCCCATAGGGAGCTCCACCGAAGGCCCCAGTGGGGGTGTTCGCATGCGGTTCCCCCACCCAGGGCAGCGTTTCGTAGCCCCATAGGGAGCTCCACCGAAGGCCCCAGTGGGGGTGTTCGCATGCGGTTCCCCTTCCCAGGGCAGCGTTTCGTGGCCCCATAGGGAGCTCCACCGAAGGCCCCAGTGGGGGTGTTCACATGCGTTTCCCCCACCCAGGGCAGCGTTTCGTGGCCCCATAGGGAGCTCCACCGAAGGCCCCAGTGGGGGTGTCCACATGCGGTTCCCCCACCCAGGGCAGCGTTTCGTGGCCCCATAGGGAGCTCCACCGAAGGCCCCAGTGGGGGTGTTCGCATGCGGTTCCCCCACCCAGGGCAGCGTTTCGTAGCCCCATAGGGAGCTCCACCGAAGGCCCCAGTGGGGGTGTTCGCATGCGGTTCCCCCACCCAGGGCAGCGTTTCGTGGCCCCATAGGGAGCTCCACCGAAGGCCCCAGTGGGGGTGTTCGCATGCGGTTCCCCCACCCAGGGCAGCGTTTCGTGGCCCCATAGGGAGCTCCACCGAAGGCCCCAGTGGGGGTGTTCGCATGCGGTTCCCCCACCCAGGGCAGCGTTTCGTGGCCCCATAGGGAGCTCCACCGAAGGCCCCAGTGGGGGTGTTCGCATGCGGTTCCCCCACCCAGGGCAGCGTTTCGTAGCCCCATAGGGAGCTCCACCGAAGGCCCCAGTGGGGGTGTTCGCATGCGGTTCCCCCACCCAGGGCAGCGATTCGTGGCCCCATAGGGAGCTCCACCGAAGGCCCCAGTGGGGGTGTTCGCATGCGGTTCCCCCACCCAGGGCAGCGTTTCGTGGCCCCATAGGGAGCTCCACCGAAGGCCCCAGTGGGGGTGTTCGCATGCGGTTCCCCCACCCAGGGCAGCGTTTCGTGGCCCCATAGGGAGCTCCACCGAAGGCCCCAGTGGGGGTGTTCGCATGCGGTTCCCCCACCCAGGGCAGCGTTTCGTGGCCCATTGGGAGCTCCACCGAAGGCCCCATGCGGTTCCCCCCCAGGGCAGCGTTTCGTGGCCCATAGGGAGCTCCAAAGGCCCCAGTGGCTGTTCGCATGCGGTTCCCCCACCCAGGGCAGCGTTTCGTGGCCCCATAGGGAGCTCCACCGAAGCCCCCGTTCGCATGCGGTTCCCCCACCCAGGGCAGCGTTTCGTGGCCCCATAGGGAGCTCCACCGAAGGCCCCAGTGGGGGTGTTCGCATGCGGTTCCCCCACCCAGGGCAGCGTTTCGTAGCCCCATAGGGAGCTCCACCGAAGGCCCGCCCCGGTGGCGCAGTCCGCATGCGGTTCCCCCATCCAAGGCAGCGCTTCGTGGCCCCATATGGAGCCCCACCGAAAGCGGCACCCACAACGCGTTACCAACAATTGCTTATGGTTGGGTCTTTCGCCAGGATAATTCCAATCGAGCTTTCGCTTGAGAATTTCCCTAAGTTCATGGCCAGGGGTTTAAGCTGGTGTACATTTCATCGATTGGGGGGGCGCCCTTTCTTGCCTTACCGACGGGGATATCGCTGTCCACCTCGTTGAACTGTATGAGGGGAACGAAGAATGACATAAACATAACACAACAGCTCGGAGCTCCAAACGATTTCTCGGATCCGCGCTGGACCCCGCTCCCTGGCCCGCGGAGCGCGCCAGGGGCGGCGCCGGAGGCGCCACCAGGTGGTTCCTGCGCGGATCCGAGAGATCCGAACGGACCTCCGAGTTGTTATGCTTATGTCATTATTCGTTCCTCGATGTATGGCCATACCTTGGCGGCGCGCCTGGGGGGAAATGAGAAGGCTCGGAAGTGCCCGGGTCTTCTGAGAAGTGTTTTGAGCCTTCCCCGAAGACAGAAACAGCTTTTCTCAGAAGGCACGAGGGCTTCTGAGAAGTCCTGCCGCCTTCCGAGAAGGCCTTCTCCCTCTCACTGCCCCCCCCCTCGTTGGACGCCCGAATTATCCGGGGTAACTCGGGTCCGGGGTAACTCGGGTTTGGGCTCCCAAAAAGCGAACCCGAGTTAGCCCTGACCCGAATTACCCCTGATGATTCGGGCCTCTGGACGTCCGAATTATCCGGGGTAACTCGGGCCCGGGATAACTCGGGTTCGGACTCCCGAACACGAACCCGAGTTAGCCCTGACCCGAGTTACCCCTGATGATTCGGGGCTCTGACCTCGCTCGCCGCCGAATACCTTCCCAATTGCTGCAGACGCGCTGGAGCGATGCCCGGCCGGTCCTTGCCAAAGCGGGGCTCTCTCGCACGCATGGCACGCCCGTGGGGTGCCGGCCTCTCAAGGAGGGCGCGTCCCGCGGTGAAGGAGTGCAGCTTGCAGAGACTTTGCGGGGAGGCGAGGGGGAGGAGGAGGGCGGGGAGGAGGCGGAGGAGGAGGAAGAGGAGAAGAGGAGGGCGAGGAGGAGGCGGAAGAGGAGGAGGGGAGGAGGAAGAGGAGGAAGAGGAGGAGGCGGAGGAGGAGGAGGGGGAGAAGGGGGAAAAAAACGGAATTCCAGGGGTGGAAACCCAGAACCCGAGCGTTCTGGGTTTTTCAAAACTGCTCAAGGTCCCGGGAGGAGAAAACCCGGAACCCTAGGGTTCCGGGTTCCGGAACCCGAGGGTTCCGGGCTCTCTTAGGGTCCTTGCGGAGCCTCTTGGGGCACTCTTGAGGCCCTCTTGGGCTCTCTTCGGGCGTTCTTGGGGCCCTCTTGGGGCTCTTTGGGGAGGTCTTTGAGGCCTCTTGGGGCCGTCTTGGGCACCATGGCTCAAATAATGGGGGGTCGGATATTCAGCCCCCCCCCTGGGAGACTAATGGGCGACCACAAAAGGGCGTCTTGGGGCCACCTTGGGCCGCCCTTAGGCCCCTCTTAGGCGCTCTGAGGTCTGTCTTGGAGCCCTCGCGGGCCCCTCTTGAGACTCTTGTGGGCCATCTTGGGGCCGTCTTGAGGTCAGCAGCTTATCGGAAGCGAAAAGGGGACAAGGCAAAACAACTTGATTATTTAGGTTTTTG